GGGGTGCGTGCGTGCGTGTGTGTCCGGCCAACCAAGGCAAGACCGCTAGCGTGTCCTGCCAACTAAGGCACTAATGTCCTGCCAAAAAAAACACTAATTATTTTATTCGACCAATAGAAGTCGAGATATCCAAACTTATCCCTATTTTGAAGATGGCCGCCGACGCACAGGGAAATTTTGTTGGAACTTTGTGAATTCGGGCATCTCCTATGACTTTCTACTCACCCTCAAAAAATTGGCTTGTCTATCCGTTTTGTAGATATTCGGTGTTTTTGATACTATTTTACTGGACTAATGAGAAATTTAAAATTTCTTAGTTTCAATTACGACGTCAGCTATCTCGACAATCAATTTTGTCTTTGTAAATTATATTATATCGAATAATAAACAAACCACGTGAAGTTTGCGTATGTAAAAAAATGAAATCATAGATCTTAGCTGCCGGTCAAAATATTGCCGATCATTTTCGCAAATTCAGTTCGCTAGTGAATTCCGATCTGCGTTGGTACCTCGAGAACCGGTCAAATCCCCAGACCCAAGCGCTTTCGGAAAGGCGAACAGCTCTCGAGTGCTGGAAACAAAAGCCCGGGGTTTCAATTAAACCCTTTATTAGTTAGCGATAATGGGGCCAGCACAGCGGGTCGGACCGGCATCGCCTGGCCGGCCGTCGCTTAATCGGAGGTTACAGGGTTGTTTGCGCGGATCTCTGCGGCTCTCACGATATTGAGGGCTGACTAGGCAGTCTTTACCTCCTTGATGTTTAGAATCGCCCTGCCGGCCTCTCGTCTGTGCCCTTTCTCGAATCCGGGCTGCGAGAAAGGCCGTCTCGAGGATCCTCGCGCCTTGCCGGATCACGCCGATTGATTTTCTTGCGCGTTCTGCAAGTTCAACGAGGATAAGCGGGGAAATCGAGAGACGCGCGGACGGCAGCGTCGGGCGGGACAAAACGAGAAAGCGCAGAGGCAAGAGCGAAGGAGAGACGGGCCGAAGCGGTCGAGCCGGGAGGAGGAATTTGTCGCTGAGGAGAGCAGGTCGCAGCAGTCGCCTGCGGCGAGCCGCAACGATCCTCTCGTCCTCCCACCCGTCTCACGCTACCGCACGATACCGGAGAGAATGAAAGAGAGATAGAGACAGGGAGAAGAGAAAAGAGAGAGCGAGAGAGAGAGGAAGCTTGTCGCTGCTACTGCTATTGCTCTACGGGACCGTTCGAAACTAACTTAGGGCTGCCGAAACTACACTCGCTCTTCCCGCGCCGCAAAACGAACGGCACGGCTAACAAGGCGGCACACGAAATACATTGGATATTGATTCGCGAGGGAGAAACGACAGGGTGAAGCGCCGGTGAATATTTCTTGGACGTTCGGCGTGAATGCGCGATAAATGGCAAAGAGGAGGATTTGAGCCTCCAAGAGTTACAGACACCTAATGTCATTTTGTAGTTTCAAGTTGGAACAACAATGTACGAGTACGCGTAATCGGCATGTCGTATCACGTGATGCGTTTGTTTTAGTTTTAATACAATGTTGATTCTAGTCTATCTTTGCAAATACGGTTCTTTAAAATCGTCCTTGATTTATGAAGATGTCGTTGGTTATTTTTAAGTACTTGCTTGTTTTTTCTTTTTGGAATAATTTGAAATAAATCTATCGCGATGATATCCGTCAATTTTACAATAATAACTGGCGTTTTCTATATCGTCGTACGATCGTCCACGTGGCCTAGTAAATTGCATTTATGTCACGTCGTCTCGATCCATATAGTCCACGAAATCGGTTTTAGTGTAAACGAGGAAAGCCGGGCTAAGGGTCTCAAGCTGGGTTCGGCGGCTTCGCTGGTTGGGTGGGAAGGTGCGGCAGGAGAATGGCTGCGACATCTTGTATTGTCAGATCCCAACGCGACAAATTCATAATTGCGTTAATGCGGGTACGGCGAGGGTTCTTGCCGCAACCACCGCAAGGCGCGCCATGGCGTCTTGCGGCTATAAGAGAGGACGATATAGCGCATGAGAGGCGGCGAGAAGAGAGGGTTCGGGGCGGCAGGAGACGGTGGAGAGCGGTCCCTTCTGGTACGGGCTCGTTAATCTTCGGAGGATTACGCCAGAAGGAAGTATCGCCATTGTGCAGGACGCTACTCCTCGAGTCGATAATTATTAATTAAATTGGCCGAACGGGCCACTCTGCGATTTATCGACTTATCGAGCGCTGTAAACGATATCGCGACAATATTGTCCCACAAACATGTGACAAATTTTTTAACAACTTCTGAATATGTATCAATTTATTAATTACACCTAGAAAATAACTTATATATATTTTATTAATTATATTTATATACATGTATAGTAAACAGAGTTGATCCTTATCGATGAAAAAAAAAGCTTTATATGTATATAAAAATATCTTTTATCTACATATATAATTTGCTCTACTACTATTATATTCTTAAACCAATTAATTTATCTAAATTTTTCGATTGCAGTTATCATGCATATTTTATTTCATCTCGATTAAATAGGACGAGAAATGCAGACAATTTCACGATATTTTAATCAGACGGAAGTTCGTTTGTATCCGCCGTTTGTATTTTACCTGGCTGGGTTAAACCAATAGAACGGTCATTCGGAACGTCGGAAAAGCGGCCGTCCAATACTAAATGAAAGGCCGGCGCGGTGAAAAAGCTCAACTTGCAGGTGCTTTATTTCAGTCGGTCGTAGACAATTGAATCATCGTCAAATCGTGACGGGAGGGTCATCAAATCTGCACGAACGGGCACGAGAGCGCGACGATAGAAAGGGTTGTGTGCCCGTCTGTCGGTCGGTCGGCAGGCGGGAGTAAAAAGGACGGAATTGCAGAAACGGGAGAGAACGGGCGACGAGAACGAACGGGCCGAAATAAAACAGTGATATCGAGGCATTTCACGCACGAGCGAGAGCGTTTAGCAGATTCAACGTGCGTGCCGGCACTCCGCCGTTTTCCTGCCGCGGTGAAACCGTCCCTCTCTCCTTTTTTCCCGTCCTCTCCTGGATGGCTCTCTCATTCTCTCCATTTCTCTCCCGCTCGCACCTCGGCGCGCTCTTTACCCTTTTTTCTCTCTCTTGCTCTATCACCTACACCCTCACCGGGTCTCGCTGAAAAATACTGCTCTCGCTGACACCTGTAGCTTCGACGTTCTACATATGTGCGCACGTAGCACGTCGAGTTGCCGCCATCGACGAGTGGAAGAAACGAGGGACGACGAAATTGATAGCTGATGATGTCGAAAATCGTCATAAAATCTATCGAGCGTAATGCAATGTGTAATCGAGTAACTTGTTTCCATCAATGCGACAAGTGTTTAACGCGTTGGAAAATAATCGATTATATTACGAGACATATTTATTTTTGCAAACATTGCAAACATAAAATAGCTATCTTGATATGTGTTTCTATTTCTAGACTGCTCTTATAAAAAATAAGAGAGTTGTAGGGATATAGGTTTATTTAAAAATATACAATTACTTAACTAAAATCAATTTTTATAAAACTTGTAAATTTTCCTTAATTACATACTCTATTGTAAAGATATAATTCTCGGTCTTGGTATGAAATTTCGTAGTGTTATC